CCAGCTGCCTGGGCCTAGTGGCCCACAGGCGGCGTTTATCCAGCAGCCAGAACATCCATCTGTGCCGGCCCCCAGGTCAAGATCTACTGTGGCTCAAGGGCCTTCACCAGAGCTATCACCACCAAGGACCAGCAGACCAGCATCACTACAGCTGCCTCCACCTCCATCTGCGGCTGCCACCAGGTCAAGATACACCTCAGCACAAAGGCTCCACCACAGCCATCACCTTCAACCCAGCCAGCAAGGAGGTCTCATGGAGGTCTCGTATAGCACTTGTACACCCCACCTACACAGCAGCCCATACACCATCACCCCCACCTACACAGCAGCCAGACCCACTGTCTTGGAAGACAGACAAAGACCTTGACACTGTCTTGACATTTATAATGAATAGTTGGTTGAAAGTTCTGATGTTCAATATTGTAAATAGTTAGATTTTCCAGTTTCTTATATTTATATAAATAGTTGGTTGAAAAAAACATATTTATAATAAATTGTTGGTTGAAAAAAAGGTTGAATGCTCAATTTGTATTTGTACACATCACATGAACCTTGGTATGTAATATGAAGTCATTATTCAGTCCTAATGTATCTCAGTCCCTGCTGTGGGGAAAGTAGAGTGATAAACACCTATTTTACTCAAAATTTGAATTTAATTTTTTTCATTTTAGACATGAATAACACATTTATATACAGTATAATTCAAATATTTCACTGCTTTTGTGATCCTAGGACTTTGGTTACCAAATCTAAAATACCAAAACAATTCGATCACATGAGTAAATTTGTGTTTTCACAAGAGTTTTGAAGATTTTCCGAAAATCGGATGTCAAATTTTAAGCTTTTGAGCTACTTATCTCATCAAACAGTGCTCCAAGGTGAGTAATATGCATATATAGCAAGACCATAGATTGTCCTGAACATTTTGATATGTAACACATGGGGTGCCATGTTAGAAGAAATACATTTAAAAGGTGATTTAAGAAAACATCTAAAAATCGAGAAAATACCCTTAGACTCCAGAGGGTTAAAGCACAGGATCAATCAGACACACAACAGGAGCCGTCGTTCAAGCCAATGGCATGAAGGCTTATGAGCAAATGTTACTTTCATTTGCTTTCAAATATCAACTCCAATTTTAAGTTTCGAGTATCAGGCACTTTATTTGCAAGTACTTTACATGAATGAGCCGTGCCGTTAAGGACTGATGCTGAAGTGTGCAAAACACTGGATATAACAAATGTGTTTGAACATGCATAACAAAATGTAAACATCTTTATATAAAAGGGAGAAAAAAAAGGAAAGGAAACCTAAAGAAACTTTTAATAAACTAAAGCTTGAATAACCAAAGAAGAAGAGAACATATTTGTCTTTCATTCAAGTTTAACTCTAACCTAGAAGGATCTCCATTTTGTCCTGGCACAAGGTGTTGGTCATTAACGTAAAAATGAATATGGAGGAAGAATTAAACAAACAAAAAAGGCAAACAGTCGTCAGGAGAGTCTGACAGATCAAACTGTGTGTGTGTATACGAAGGAAGAGGTGGAGGTGCATTAAGTCGATGAAAGTGAGGAAATGGCGCGCACTTTCAGACAGTTTCTCACAAAGATATCCCTGGTGTTGCACTTGCAGAAGTAATGATATACATTATTTTGAAAAGAGAGCTTGAAATGTATTATTTTATCTGTATTTTTATCAGTATTGAAAGTTACAAAGATTCATTTGAAACAAAAATCCAGCACAATCTGGAAAACTTTTAAAGGGCAAACATGATTTACACAAAGCATCTCTTCTCTTTTTGAGGTCAATTCATTTGTATGCATGCCCATGTTCAATACAAATATATAGTAATTCAATTACAAGGCTGGTGTAACATCAAAGGCCAGGAAGAACTACACATACCAGAATATTAGCAATAGTTTGGATGTTAAACAGCCACATAGTGGGAGAGTCCTGGAATGAAAGGCTAGCAACAGTTACTAAGGGAGTTTGATGGTTGATTAATGTCCTCACTTTTGTTAAAAAAAGGATTTCTGACTTCTGACAGAAACAGTTTTGCCCTTTGTAAGTAGGCCTATCTGTAGTTTCAAAGCCAGCTCTCTGCACGTCACTTTCTTTTATGTACATGTGCAACACTGAGACTGTTGAAAGAGTGCACCGTTTCCACCCATTTCAATGCCAAGACATAGCTGGAGAAATGCAACAAGCGTGCTATATCTGGTCTATTAAAGATGTTGTCTAATCACCACTTAGTTACCCCATCATCTTAGAGGAGCTACAACATTTATATCTTTAGCCGCAGACATTTGACTTTTGAATGCCTTTACTGCTTGGAGCACCTTAATAAACCCTAGACAGGAAGAAGCAGAGAAAAACATCAAATACACATGAATCCTGTTGTAAGATTAGCATACCTGTGAGTTTAAGAAACAACAGATCTTCCTCAAAGTATAGTAGTAAGGAAATGACTTGCACTATCTGGAAAAACTCCAAACATGATCAGAAATGTTCTAGAAAGGTTTTGGAGGTCCGGTGATTTCTGGAGGAGAAACGTATGCTTTGGTGCTTCTTCAGTGATCTACTAGGTTTACATTTCTCTACTCGTGCATCCGTTCACACGATGTTCGTATCCCTCTCAAACCAAGCCAACAACAGCCAAATAAAGCAGAACAAAACTGCTAATATTTTCATAGCAAGTCATGTGAGTTTCAAACACAGGAACAAGTCGATAAAGAAGATTTAATGACTTTGCAGCTTTATGAATAAAAAATAACAATATGGGTACATAACTAAGAAAAAACAGCACCGGGGAAATCGGTGTCGTAGTTGCTTCCACTCCTAAAGTAATAAAACATTGGGGAGAATAAAAGGTGGACAATATAAATATGGAGTAACAAATTAAGCACGTGGGTACAGTAGGTGAAAACAAACCGAAGGGAAAAGGCTGAGATTAAAAGGGATACCTTGATATATATTTTTTTTCCTTCAGCTACACAACGTTTTCTGTCACAATATGGAGTCGGTGGTTTGTGTTGGCACTTTAGATGAAGAAGTGGAAGAAGCTGGATGTGGAAGTGAAGAGGTTTAAAAAGGTTAAGAAACCCGAAACATGTTCTTTGGTGAAACAAGAAATGCGAGCGTCTGGAAAAACTCAAGTAAACGGCAAGAGACACGGTTATTTATGACTAAATTAAGAGCTGATTCCGCGGTGTACTTCTCGTCTGATCAGGCCTCCTGCGTGCAAACCAAAACAGTCATTTCCACCTTCTGTTCTGTGCTACATGTGTGAAACCGGGAAACGCCCAACCTGATTCTGAGGCTGTGTTCATGGGCCAGGATCCATCCCTGCATTCTGCCCAAATGCATCATGGGATAGGCCCCCCTTAAAACGGATAAAGCAGGTGGAAATGAAAAAGAAAGAACCTGAGGTAGTCTGAATGTTTGGGCTACATGTTCATTTTTCATCTCGCATCGTTTTCTCCTCCTTTGCTGAACAGAGGGCCGGGCGATATAGTGTGGGATTCCAGATGTCGCATTGCGGCATGAGGGGCGTCTTCTCCTGAAGGCTGAGTTACAGTCAAGTGATGTCATTTTCATTCTTTGTTTTTTAACGACAGTCAATATATCAACATATTACTGATTATTTATAAAGACAACAACAGACAACTTTACAATGTCGTCACATTTGACGGAGGTATTGGGACAGATATATCCTGACATTTGATATCATCTCTATCGCCCAGCCCTAAGTGGTTCTAATGAAAGCGAGATGACAGCATCAACGCGAGGCCGCTGTCTCTACAATACAAACAGCAGGGCCGGGTATCGAACCGCAACACTGTTTATTATGAAACACTTCACAGAGTATAATGAGAGCTGGCATTTGATGTCAGATTTGTTCTCTTTAAACTTTCTTTTTTAACCAGTTTTAGTCAGACCAATTCATGTATGGCTGCTAATGCAAGGACAACATTCAAAATTTGACAACTTTGGCTTATTTGACAGTTTATATTTCTCTGTAACGTCTCATATCCACATGAGTGCTTCATACCCAGCCCTTCTGAGGAGCAGAGGAAAACGGCAGAGGTGCAACATCAAGGTATCTCTTTAAGTGAACGTATTTGAAGCCGGCGATGAAACAGATCGCAGGCCGTTAAGGCACATATGTGTAAGAAGAGTTGATATACTTTCAGCTAACGAGCAGGACTATAGAAAGGCTTCACGGAACGAGCTATAGTGTGAAGACCAAGGAGCTCCAGATAACATCGAGACACTTTATCAGAAAATAACTATCTCTCTACAGAAGGAGAGTACAATTTAAAAATGAAACTACCAAACTACAGTACACTCGAGATGCTTCGTTATGACGTCTTGATGCATAGCATCACCCATAGATAGAATCAATTTATATTTTAAGTTTATATGGATCTTATTCAATGTTTAACCATAACATTGAATAGTGGAGTTAATAGTGTTATGGCAGTGTTTGTAGAAGAGTCACAGTCTCACTCCTCTGTTTCCTTTTGACCTTATAGAGACAGAAACCGACAGAGAAAGGAAGAGGAACTGATTTGTGATTGTCATGATTCTCAGTGTCATCTTTCCTCTGCAGAGTTCAATTATTGACATGATCGAAAAACAGGAAATAACAAGGAGACATAATTGGAAACAAAGAGAAGTTGCGAGTTCAAATGTTCTCAGATATGAAGCAAAGAAAGATCCCTGCTCCGCGTATCCAGGCTTTACCCTGAGCCGGATCCACACTGAAGTGCCCGGCGTCCAAAACCAACTCCAAGCCCCACAGCGGATACATCTTTCCACATTCCAAAACCAAAACATTCCCATATATTTCAGTCAGTGTTCTGCTCACAAAATGCTAATATCAACAGAGTGAATCAATGCTAAAAACAGTGTGTGTCAGTGTTTGAGGGCCCGGCTCTCTTTAGCTCTGTCGGAGCGGAGAGGTGATCCTTCTCCTCCTGTTTGTTGCTCCTCTCAGTTTCACATCGCTCCATTTCAAACACCTCGTCCTCCTTCTTTACCGCCACGCCTCCCTCTCTTGTCTCTGTGGCGGACCTCTGGGTTTCCATAGGTCCTGGAGGGAGAAACTTCCCAAACCTCGTCCCGTTCAGATCCTCCTCGAATTTCACCTGGAAGGGCGGCAGGCTGAGCAGGAAGGCTCTGATCCTGCTGGGCGAGCTGAGATCTGCTGGTTCCTCCTGGTTCCTCATCTCCACTTCCTGCTCCCCCTCCCCGCCGCTGCTCCCCGAGCCGGATCGGCCCCCCAGACCGAAGTTATCCGCCGTCTCCGTGCACAGTCTCTTGGACAGAGGTTGATCGGCGTTCCCGTTGACGTCCCCGTGACTCGACTCCGGTCCCTCGGCGCTCGGTCTCTTCACCACGAAGCGTTTGCTGAGATTGAGAGGCAGCGCCTGCTCGGGGGGCGGAGTGATGGGCGAGCAGGGGGGCTTGCTGCTCAGGTCCTGGGACAGAGCCTCGGACAGGCGGCGGGTGAAGGTCTGGAACTGAGACGAGCCCAGACGAGTCCTCATCAGCTGGCACACCTGCACAAACCAAACGTTTATTCATATAGCCCAATATCACAAAACACGTTTGTCTTGTGTAACTAAATAAAACAGAGATTCTTGCGCCACACGCCTGTAATGTGCCATATATACACTTTTCTGGGGCAATTCTACTGTGCAAAGCATTTCAAACCTTAATAATCATCTAGATCTATCTATTTAAATGCTGCTACTTTTCTTATCTCTAATGTGTGCTTTCTCTATATTGAACATACTAGCTACTTTATTATAGCTTGCCATGTCACTTTTCCCAAACATTGTACATTCCCCCGCTGTGGAACTAATAGAGGAATTCTGATTCTGACATCACATGCATTACTCATATATTAAAGCTAGCTTAAAGTAGCTTGCACACCTGAACGCTGCAGTCCAGGTTCAGAGGCAGGACACGGAGGGGGGGCAGGGGGGGCCGGTTCCTGACGTCCCGACTGACCCCCCTCTGCGGGGCCGCCTCGTCCACCACGCACCCCGAGCAGTGGTTGTGTTGCTGGTGCGGCGGGTGGGGGGTGGGGCTGAGGCTGGAGCTGCTCCCTGCTGGGGTGTGTTGGCGTGTCCGGGCTTCCACTTTTGGGCTGGAGTGTGTAGACGGTGGGATGGTGCTGGGCGGGGGGGTCCTGAGGCGTCAGGGCAGGGCTCTCCGGGCCCCTCTGGAGGCTGATGCGGTTCCTGAAGACGTCCAGAGGGCAGACGCCTTTGATGGGGCTGAAACCGCCCAGAGATCCTCCGACAAAGTGGCGAGGCAGCGTGGAGAGGAGGAGGGGGGGGGCTGACTCCCGCCGGTCCGAATTCAGCTCCTTTGGTTTGGGCTGGAAGGGGAGGAAGGGGGCCGACATGGGGGAGAGGTCCGGGGTGAGGGGCATGTTGACGAGGATGACCGGCTGGATGGGCTGCAGAGGGGGAGGAAGAGGAGGGAGGTCACGGTTAGTGTTTAGAGAGGTTTCATCAGAGATCAGATGGACCTCTAGTGATCCCTGTAGGAAAATGCAGGTGTTGTAGCAGCAACAGAATAAGACAGAAACAAAGATAGTACACATGGGATAATAAGAATACAAATAAAATAAGAATAAACATGTAGTATTAGTATGAATAGAAATAACAAAAATGACATAAGTTAAACTCTAAACAGGTGAACGTATATGTATAAAGGTTTAATATATATACATTTAAAATCTCTATTTGAACGACCACATCAAACAAGAGGTGGACGCGGGCAAGTACTGCTGCATGGTCATGCTGGACCTACAAAAGGCCTTCGACACTGTCAATCACTCCATTCTGATTGACAAGCTAAAAGCAATTGGTTTTGATAGTCTATCAGTGAGCTGGATGCAATCCTACCTGGAGGGGAGAGAACAGATGGTGGAGGTAAACGGTACTCTGTCCCCCCCCCCCTCCCAGTGAGCTGTGGTGTTCCACAAGGAAGCATACTAGGACCGTTACTGTTCCTAATTTATGCCAATGACATGTCGTCAGCTTGTGACTGCAACTTGTTCCTGTTCGCGGACAGCCCTGCTGGTCTCTGACAGGAACAAGTTGCAGGTTGAAAAAAACCCTCAGCTCGGAACTCGGCAGAATCTGCACCTGGCTCGCCGATAACAAATTATCATTACACCTGGGTAAAACAGAGTCCATTCTCTTCGGTTCAAAAAACAAACTCAGCAAGACCGACGGCTTCTCAGTTACAGTGGGTGACAATATTGTCACAAGGAAAGATGAAATTACATACCTAGGTTCCATACTAGAGGCAAATCTCTCCTGTGACAAAATTATTTTATTACAACTATATTTGCTCTTCTCTTTAAAAGAAACCGTTCTGTGTCTTTGGATGCACCATCTAATCCAAAAGCTAATTCAAACCGATTTAAAGAAAAATTCAAAGAGATCTGATTTAGTATTCCTGAAAAGCTGAGGCGTTACCCTGTGTGTGCTGATGAGGGTTAGAGCGCCTCCACCCTGCAGCAGAGGACTCAGCAGCTGAGACTCCGCCTCTAATTTGATCCTAGCCTGCTGCTGAGCCACCATCTTGGCCTGAGCGATCAGCGTGGATTTATTGCGCGTGCCGGGCGGCCGACCTCGTCCTCTCTTCACCACCAAAGTGCCGTTCGGGGTCATGATCTGTCAGAGAGATCAAAGTCAGAGGTTGGTTTATTTATATAGCACATTTCAGACACAAAGGCAATTCAAAGTGCTTTACACAGCCATTAACACATAACAATTAACAGCTGAGTAAACTGAACAAAAAGATAATGCAGCAACAAGTGCTGAAGTGCAAAGATAAAGCATGCTTATATGACCTTTGGAGAGCAACATTGTACAGTACAATGAAAGCAGCAAAACGCCAGAACACTTTAATTAGTACTTATTGAAACAATAGTTAATATTATTATCAAATATTCAATATTGTAAATATCTTTCAACACGTAATGCACCTGAAGACCCGAAGACTTGTCTGCCTGTCAAAGTAGATTTCCAATATCTGGGGTTAAAAGGTACATTCAGATATTTCTCGGATTACATATCGAGACACATAATGTCATATTGTTCTGACCTGAGGTAAAGAGCCAAAGCTGGCAAGAACATGATGATTTCTGAATGAAAATGTCAAATGTGAAATTTGGTAGTACAACCAGAGGTAAAGTAAGTGAACTACTGTTTCTGTTGGTGTGTCACTTACAGTACGAGCACAAGCAGCAGCAGCGGTCGCCATCTTCTTCTCTTGGGATTTGGGTCCTGGTTTCCTTCCTCTCTGAAGTGGTTTTCTTCCTCTGATCGCTCTGGGTTTTTGAGGCATGGGGCACTCTGGGATTTTGAATTCAGTTCCTCCTGCTCTGAGGTGCTCTTCATAAGGAAGCATCAGCCTGAGACACACAGTAACAGGAAGCTTAGAGCACGGCATTTGAAATTAGGACCATATTTTCTCATTTTGAGTCTAAATGATGTATTTCTTCAGGATTCTTTTCTTTTTCTGACCTTTCATAGTGTCTCCTGGTGCAGGTCGCAGCACTGGTGCTGCCGGCGCATCCTCCCAGCTCGTTATAAACTATTTTCCAGAGACGGTCCACTGTCACCTGTGACACACACACAAAAACATCAAGATGATCAGCTTTGAACGCCTAAAATGCAGAGAAAAATAAGTTTGTATGCTTAATATCAATAATATGGATAACTTTGTATTAACCGTACCAAAAAACTAATAAAATATGAAATGTGTTGTTATTAATTATGAATGAGGAGTTGAATCAAGAGTGACTGTAGCTATTTTAGGATTGGGTTGATTTTAAATGAAATACCTTTTTGATGGAATTTTTCTTTTTTATGTTTTAAAGTGTGTTTTTTTTTAATCATAATTATTAATCGTACTATAAAAAAATAATAATAATAAGATCTACTACTAAATACGGTTAATACAAATAAAAACACATGGTGAATATGGCAATTAAACTAGTAGTTGTAAACATTTATAATGGTAATAATAAAAACATATTTGTAAATATAAATAACAAGACAAAATAAATAAATCCATACAAAATAATATTAATAATAATAACAGTAAAACTTGTGTCATGACCAGAGTGGTGTCACATTGTATAATGTGTGCAATTGTTTCAACCACACCACTCACACATAGAGCGTCATTATGGTTGTAACACTACGTTGTATAACACAGTATTGTTCAGTACAAGGCTCGGTCTCCAGAGGGTGTGTTGAACGGGCCTTTTGTTGTGAAACAGAGCAGCACTGAGCTGAAAACTCACCGCCCGTTTCTGTCACACTGGCCTGTTTACATTTAATGTAAAGCTGCTTTTGTTGCGTGTTCATTTACTGTAAACAGCTGAGATTGTTTCTGGCAAAACTCCACTATTTCATTCATTTTACACAGTTAAATCCGTCAGTTAATTAAAAGGTACTATTGACTTATCTGTACTGAAAATAACTCTCCCTTTTTTGTAGCAGTTCAATTTTTTAATCATCTTGCTTAAACTGTACATAACAACAGAGTACTATCATTGTTATTAAAAGTACAGTTTCACATCATGCTAACTTGTTAGGCTAACATTTAGATGTCTGTAGACTTAATGCTCCAGCTAGCTGATCTTTTTTCTTAGCTTATCATTAAGATTGGAAACTTAGAGAACAAGCAAGCCTGGCTCTTTTTAAAATAGTTTAAAAAAATAAGAAAGTGAAATGGCAAGCCGTTTCCAGTCTTCTTGCTAAGCTAATATGCTACTGGTGGTAGCTGAATTGCTTTAGCACATAGACATAAGAGTGGTTTCAATCTTTGAATGCAACATTTCGGAAAAAAACTAAAATAGCAAACCATTCTCCTAGACTTAAGACTAAATGACTACAAGTGACTCACCTTTTTGTAGCCTCCGAGCCGCTTGACCACAGAGTACATTTTGAAGAGGTCAACTGAGGAGAGAGAGGGCGGACATGTTTAAACTAGGGCCGTCAGTCGATTAAAATATTTAATCGCGATTAATCGCATGATTGTCCATAGTTAATCGCGATTAATCGCACATTTTTTATCTGTTCTAAATGTACCTTAGAGGAATATTATTCAAGTTTTTAATACTCTTATCAACATGAGTGGACAAATATGCTTTATGCCAATGTTTATTATCATTTGAACAATGACAAATATTCTCATGAATATTAAACACAACAACCTCTGAACATTACAAATATTCGCCTCAATTCAACCTGGAACCTCTCATACAATACAAATGGTGTGTGTGTGTGTGTGTGTGTGTGTGTGTGTGTGGTGTGTGTGTGTGTGTGTGTGTGTGTGTGTGTGTGTGTGTGTGTGTGTGTGTGTGTGTGTGTGTGTGTGTGTGTGTGTGTGTGTGTGGTGTGTGTGTGTGTGTGTGTGTGTGTGTGTGTGTGTGTGTGTGTGAGATGGATCGTTGGAGCTATGTGCAACTCAAGGCATATGCTCGAACGGGAGCTGCCTGGACGCTGCAATCATGTTGCGCACTATCCGTGCCGAGTGTGCTGACTTCTCGTACAATGTCCCACTGTCTGGCTTCCTGCATAAAGTCAAGTGCTTGGCGCAGTTGTGGCGAAATGTTTTCATTTAAACAGCTCCTTGTATCCGTTAGCGCAGCTAGCTAGCACCAGATGCTAACAACAACAATGCACGTAAGGTCTCTCTCTCGCTCGCTCGGGCCACACATACACACACCCTCCCGGTCCTCCCAACAGCCAGTCGGTGCCTGCCGGTGAGCGTGGAAGTGTGGTCTGCCACAAGCGGGCAGCAGGAGCGGGGCTGTCAGCATCAGCTTGTAGATGGTATTTTAAACTCGATGCGCTCTGAAACTACGGGGCGGCCGAGGAAAAAAAATACACATGCGTTAATCGCGTTAAAATAATTAGTGGCGTTAATTTTTTTTTGCGTTAAATTGACAGCCCTAGTTTAAACTGAAACAGATGAGACATGCAAATATAATAAACACCGAGCTGATATAAGTTATAACTCGTTTTATTTCATTTGACTAAACAAATGGGATAAAACCTGCAGAGAAATGTAAATGTGCAGGATTTTAGTTTCTGCTGCCTCTAAAGATGTGGATGAAACAAAGCCCCCTGTGTTTATACTTTCAGGGTTTCACTTAAATGATAAGGAACCCGATCAGAGAGCGGGCAAACAGAGAGCAGGACCACATTATGATTTCAGCTGCCGTATATTCACATCTTCAAACACAGAGGCTTTAAAGAATATTATCTAGCTATCTAGCTATATTATCCGCTAACTCAATTATGGATGGTGAAGCAAAGCCTAACATGCTCACCCAATTTGACTAAAAACAACACAAAACGCGATTATAAATGTAATATTGTCAGGGTTTTCATTCAAGATAGTTAAGAATATGGAGGTTTAAAGGACTAAAGGTCAAACATATTTTAATGTATGAATAGTAGAATTAAATGGTGGTGTTATGATCTGATTGTGATACATAATGCTATTTTAAGGTAATAAACTAAATAAAAAGAGCAGGATTAATAAGTTTTATAGCTACAATTTGTTATTGCCGTTTAATAAGATTCTCTGCAGTGGGTAAACTAGAATTGAAAGCAGAGATCAGATACAACGCCTGAACATGTGATAATGAAACCAGTCGAGCAGGAGTTCTCTGCTGCAGCCGCTCCAGACACATGTGTCGGAGGGGGCTAGTGGAGCACGCTCATGAACTGTTTGCCGGAGCCTCGCAGCGGAGTTACTGCGCGAACAGGTACAGGAGGGTTAGTTAATCGATCGCAGATGGCGTCGTGCTCGCGGACGGATAAATAAAGATTACACCTAAATGGGTCGCGAAATATACTTTGGCGGCCGTTAATATACCTGGGCGGGCCGCCCAAGTAAAGTCTAAGTGCGGGAAACCCTGGGTTTCTCTACTGTTAAGTTTAATAAGTCCCACTAAAAAGTCTAAACTAAAAGGAGAGACAGAAATGAAAGAAAGAGACTGAGAAAGAAAAAGAAAGACATAGTGAAATACAGATAGAAAACTCACTCTTCTTGAAGCCGAGGTTGGGGACTTTGTGGACGGGTGAGCCGAGGCGCTCCATGTGGGCGAAGAGCTGATCCAGGAACGTCTGCTCCTCAGGGTGAGGGAGCCAGCTGCCCTCACAGCCCACCTCCACGCTGCCCATCACGTTCTCCTGAGGGGGGGGGGGACATCCACAGTTACAACAGAAACACAAAGAGATGCTGAAAGATGAACCGGTTCACAAAAAAATACCAATAATGGAAGTAGAAATAATATAAAGCTCATAATGTATATCAAAACTGGGTATTGGGTATTTAAACTGATGATGTTGTGTAAGCGACCACTACAGGGCTCCGGTCAGTGAGTCATCAGATGGATTTAAGGGTTTTTGAATTAGGTCCATACGATACAGCAGGTTGGATGAATAATGGAGATTAACTATAAGAATGGAAGAAGCATCAGAAGTTTATCGTCAGTGACTTCTCCGAAGGACTTCTGCACTGTAGCAACGGCAGAAACCTAAAGTTCAAACGGCTTAAACAGGGAAAATAAACAACCCTTATTCCAAAATAAGATCTTATTTCAAAGTAAGATTCTATGAAGATGAAGAATTCCTAACACGCTTGTTAAATAAACACCTGTAAACCCTTTAAAAAATAACCCAAAATAAAATGGATAAAAATACACGCACAGGTAAGATTAATACAGATAAAGAACAAACCTTCATCCTCTCGATCCAGGAATCTGATTGGCCGGAGGTCGGAGAGTCTCTGGCTTTCCTCTTGCGAGGTCGCCCTCGTAGACTAAGAGACGGACAACCTGCAGGACAAAAAAAACATTAAAAACAACTTGTAAGGACTCGAAGAATGAAAAAAATAACTATTTTATTCTAAAGAATCATTGAGAAGGGCAGGGGGTCCTTGATAAGCTGCATGTGTGTAGGTGCATGCAAATTGAATTCATAAGGTGTACTCTTTTATCATACGTATCTTTTATCAGCTTTTAGTCCCATTTTAGGTGCAACATGCCCGTATTTAATTATCTCACTTCACCTTCAGTTAAGGACTAAGGTGGTTGACCTAAATGTACAAACATTCATTATGTCTAATAAAACATAAACAGTTTAAAGCTTTTCCTTCAGAAATACAAATGTGATTTTCTTACATCTAATAAATGGTTAAATAAGCTTGATATATTTGACATTTGATTAACAAAACAACTTTTATTTATTTTTTAAATGTGTTTAATTGTTTTATGTCTTACATATATTTATGCTGCATTGTTGGAAGAGCTTGGGACTTAATATGTTCATTGCCATATCTACACTGTAGCTACTGTGCCTATAACAATAAAGCCTTTGAATCTTTGATAACTACTAATGGAAATCCGCCCTGGGGAACTCCACATTGGTCAATCGTTATAATTCCCACGTTAAAAAAATATGTTTATGTATCTGAAACACTCACTGAACTGCCAGGAGAAGCCGGCGCTGTTCTCCAGCGTGGGGTGGTTGAAGGTGTCCCTGCAGTACATCAGCCGGATGTGGGGCAACACCTGAACGCCTCCCAGGGCCAGCAGGTGGGGCTCCTGCAGCCCCGGGCCCCTCGCCCCCTCCAGGATGCGGCTCTGCAGGGAGCGGAAGCGGCAGTACTGCGGGTAGCTGAGGATCGTTATTCCCTGTCGAGGGTCGTCTGAGAGGAGAGGACGGAAACATGTGAAGCAAGCCTCCTCTAAATGTTGCTGCTGTATGTATTTAGCATAATATCCACCTCTATGGAACTAATTCCATCAATACCAAATGATTCCACTTACTAATCTGAGTTTAAATGTTCAAGACGAAAATGTTTTCATTCACTTATTATTTATTTTTTTGACTTGTTCCTGTTCTTTCAATTGCCCTTCAGTTCCCATCATGAAGCTTGCTTTAAAGATGTCTCAAATGAACTCATCCAGAGCCTAACATTATATAACCACCACACATATAGACAGGAATACCCCTGATGGAAAAAACACTGTCTGTAAATATAAAACCTTGTGCAATATACCCTCCTGCAATTTCAAGCATATTTTTTGTCTCCGTTTATTTACAATTGGCACAATACCAGCTAGCTCTTAATTCAATATGGTCACTTTTCCTAATAACAAATACACTGCTACTTTTTTTTTACCATGGAGTACTTATCTGCTAGTTAGCTGTTATGCAACTGACAATAAAACCTTTTAAACTTGAATCGTGAAATTGGTAACCTTGCACCATCGGATTAGTATCTTCACTACGGGGTCTCAGTGTGTTTCTTACCTTCAATTTTGACTACCAGAGGTTCGCTGGTCGTCTCCTCACAGACATTTTCGTCGCTGCTCTGTGGAGGCTTGTGGAGGCCGTTAATCCCGCAGGCTGCTGGTGTTTTCAAAGAACTGCTCCAACCTGACGGCTCCGCACACCCCCACTGCACCAGGTCCTCCACCCGCACCACCATCTTCCTGGACACCGCCAGAACCTCATCCTAAAAACACACAAAGAGTTCGATGTAGAAACATTTCACTTCTGTTCCGTGTGTACTCAAAACAGGCACCGGATCAAAAAGTGTTCAATTTGTTGTTTTTTCACAGCTGAGAGCACAAATACCTTTACAGTGAAGCATTTTTGAAAAAGTGAGATGGTGAATTTAGCCTTTGGTTGTTTGTCTGTTATTCCTATATTTAGAATTTAGAATTACAACAATATCGCACCACTATTAAAAATATAAAAAAAGAATTAGGACACCAAATGTGTATCTGATAAATGTTTTACTTGAAATGTTACCTTTATCTTTCTCTTTGTATGTACCTCTGTTTCCCGGATGTCAATGTTGTGTGTGTTTATGATGTTTGATGAACATATATGTTATGATTCGTTTTAGTTTTCCATGTTTTATTTAGTCTGTCTTTGGTTTCCTGTTTTATTTTTGAAAGACTAATTAAACAGGAGATGTCAGTAGTACCTAATAAATATATCTTCTTTTAATTGATGTTTATTTCTGTGGTCTAAAGTCAAGCTGCTGACGTGTCCTCCATTCCAGTTTGTCAGCCGGGATCCTGTTCGGTCCTCCAGGCTGAGAAACAGGGCCCAACCCCCCCCAAAAACCCTCCTCCTCCTCCTCTGGGCTGCAGCCAGGTGGGAGCTCATTAACACCGCAAAGGGCCAAGGAGATTTTTACATAAAGTGGCTTTTTAAAGTCATGAATAAACATTATTTCAAGCTCTAAATCAAGGCCTGTCCCTTTCACCCTCTAATCAAAACAGCAAGAAACCTGCAAGTACAATTAGGTTAAAAGTGAAGTGCTACTGTAAACTGCACTGTAACTTTTATCCATGTACTTTTTTCTTTTAATGTTTATTTTATTAGCTTTTCTTTTTAATGACTGATTTTAAATGCCATTTTCTTAATCTCTTTCATTTTTTGTAAAGCACTTTGAATTGCCTTGTGTTGAAAAGTGCAATATAAATAAACTTGCCTTGCCTTGCCTTGCCTTGCCTTACTGCATTGGTTTTAAATAAGCCACACATTTGAAGTGCTACATTTAGAAGGGAGGAGCTTCTTTTGATTTATTGGCCAAGGTGCAGTCGAAACATGTCTGAGAAGGAAGATGTTCTGCTCTCCTGATAAACTCTTCATTCTTCAGACAAAACTCCCTTTTGGAAATGTGCTTCTTTCATTTACCCTTAAATGTTTTTGTATCAGAGGGGATGCAGTCATCCAACAGGCTATTTCCATGTGTAAAATCGGGGTAACATGGGTCGAATACAGCTGTAATAAGGGTGTAACATGGGGTGTGTTAATATATAACATGGGTGTTATAACAATATGTAAAAGCCATAATGGTGGTCGTAATAAAGACCTTTTAAGACTTTTAATGTTACAATACTATTTGTATCTATCCGTGTAAGTGATGGCATTTTGTCGATGAGGCACCAGTGTCTTTATAATAATTATCCATGGCTTCCATAACGCTCCGTGTCTTTTGTTGATTAGTGGACGGCTCTTAGTGTGTCAGTTCACACCTTACACTAACGTGCGTCATGAGTGACCGATTGATCTGATTTCATCTCCCTGCTTTACATGCAACTGAACACGTACATCCGTACTGTTTGCATACACAAAATACATAATGAAAATCTGTTTTTGTTGTTCGTGTATCATATAATTTGGGCGGTTGCAATACCACAATTCATACAGTTTTAAGTTAACGTGGCTAATGGAAAAGTGCTGCTACAGTCTTTGTTCGAAATCAGAAATACTTTATTCATCCCTGGAGGAAAATGTATTTTGTAATATGAGCTCAACACAAAATTAAAGTCTCAACTGATGTTAATTTCCAGATTATAGGTTTTGTTCCTGTATGTTAAAACTTTTTAATCTCTTAGAGCTTTGCTCTTACTTTTTTAGAAACAAACCATTTTTTAAAGAAACTGAGCACTTATTTGTGTAAACAATTTTAGAAGGCTTATTTTTCTACCAGGCAACTCAAAACCTCAGCATAGAGACTTCAACAGTGGAATATCTAAATTCAAAATGTGGAAAGTTTGGTTTAAGTCACGTCATTATCAAGGATTTACATTTGGGTAATGCATTAGTCTCAATCCCAAAGGAGGATTTTCACTCAACGCTGAGCTGCAGCCGGCAGAGCTGTGTTAATCAAAAACACATTCACATTTAACACTTCTTACTCCATGTGAAATCTTTATATGTGTGTAGTTTGGAGGAATTTAGCAGTAATAATTAAGCATTTAAATCAATCATATCTGACCACAGAGAGCTGAGAGAAGTTATTGTTTGTACATTTTGATCAACAAGAAGACATTGAGTTCGAGGCCGAAGATGTTTGGTGAAAAAAGGAGGCCGTGTCCCTGTGACGAGGTTATTAATAGATGTTCTTAAAGCGTTCCCCAGATTATATTGGGGAGACGTTCCCTCTCATAACGAGTCCACAGAGTGACATCACTTTTTTGTTTTTCATACTTCATATTTTGAATAGTACCTAATGTTCATAATGTAGGTAATATTCTAGTTTTTGTAAAAGTTGCCTTTGTATACTATTCAAAGCATCTTCAAATAGTGCTACTTTATACTTCCACAAAATGTAAGACAAAAAAGTTGGATTCAGATTATTTATACAAAATCCAAACAAAAACATTCTAATGTATAATTATAAATTAAAATAAGTCTTACTTACAAGCTAAAACAGAGACATGTTTGTTTCTAATCTAAATGGTGCAGACCAAATAAAAAAAAATGTCTTAAATTATCAGTAACTACATCACCTTTAATCTTGTTCCAGTGCGTCATATATGACCATATAAGGAAGTGTTTTTGTTCCTGTGGTTATAAGTGTGATAAACTTGGTGTTGTTGATTATAAATGGTAATTGAAATAAAATAAAGTTACATTTAAAGTTTTATTACATAAAATGTAAACATGTAACTGTGGATCCAGTTTTTGGGGGGTACAAAAATCTATATATTTAGTAAATGCCTTGCCTTTAAGATAATTGTATTTTTTATTAATTTATGACTTAATTTAGAAATGCAGTCTTGAAATCAAAAAAAAGAAAGCTAAAGTCTTCAATTAGAAGTAACAGAATATGTTATCCTATTTCCAGATCGTCATATCCGTATATTAAATGTTTTAGTTATTGTGGGGTTTATGAGAGACAAACCAAGTGTTGTTGATTAGAAGTGATAATAGTTATAGACGTTATTTTTTATTGAAATAAAATCAGGAGTTTACAATAAAGCTACAAACAGAGTACTACAGATGATAGGAACAAGAGGAAGGAGACGTGACGGAAAAATCCTCATGAAGAAATAGGAGAAGGACGTCCCGTGACCTTTGACCCACCTCTCCATGCTCCCTGGTGCGGCCCTTCGGCGTGTCCTCGGGCAGGAAGTAGAGTCTGGCGCTGGCCAGCAGGTGGCGCCGCGTCTGGTCCTCCCACAGCAGAGTCACCTGCACACGAAGAAGAACAACCGCAACATTTACACACTGACGTCCGCGAACCTTGGACGACTGATATCCATGACTTGAGTTTTCAGAAAAGCAGTAAAAGTAATTTATTTAGTGTTTGAAGTACTTTGAAAAGTTATTCTGTGAACAGAGATCAACCTGGAACCTTCAAGCTGATAAAGTACATTATTACACACAGAAAAAAAATAAGTTACTCTTAACAGACCACATTTTTTTATCATGTCAGGCTGGGTTAATAGATAAAGAGTAACCCAAATGTTGGCGCTGGGTACTTTGGATATTATGTGACGCTTGATTAAGCGCCGACATAAAACCTGTGTTTCTGCAATGACACTAAAACTAAACAGCCCCAACTTCATAATGAAAATTGTGCATACAAAGCCAAAGGTGGCATCCTGAAATTATTATTATTATTTTGCCCAAAAATGTGCAATTTACAGTGGAGAAAACCAAAACTATCATTACAACATATTTTGTTTTATTTCTCCGATAACTAAATACATGAATATGAAAATGTTTGATTGTTTGGGTACTTTATAATTTCTGATGCCATTTCTACTACAAAAGTATAATTTCCAGGACATATTATATGTACTATATTACAATGTCAGTAACCTTGAACAATATGTCAGGGAGTGAGATTTGCAAAGTTTCTCAGATTTAAGATTAAAGTCTACAGCCATGTTAGCATACTGCATTTAATCATGGGCTTTGGCATGGACTTAAGTGGTTTCATATTATAATTAATATTGTTTTTTATAATTACTAAAATTATCATCATCATTATTTTTGGTCAAAGCTCATTTTATGGTTGCCCTTAAGGCCTATTTTGTTCTAGAGTGAGAAACCAACACAGCTAACGTTGCTAAAAACGTAAAAGATTAAACACAATCCGATCAAGGACAAAAGAGAAATATGATACTCATTAGGGCTGAATATTGAAGATCGAAAATAACATTGTGGTCTAAGTATAAATCAGGATAAGGGATGAGGAAACAGGAAATAAAAACAGGAAGTGACCGACAGAAAGACAAATATTCGGCCAAAAACAAAATCTACGACGTCAGATTGAGCCTGAAAACGCTGAAGGGTGGAGAGGAAAAAGACAACGTTATGCGAGTGTGATCTGAACCGAGGGGAACAGATTGTGCAGGTTTTGAGGTCAGACATGTTTCTTGGATGAATCACGAGGTTTTTTTCGATTTTATTCATTAACCATGCTCACCCAGTCTCGTACTTTGGATAAAACACTCCACTGTTCGGGTTTACTGCATTTTCTTTCCAATACAATCAAATTTGAGAAAATATTTAAATCTTATGACGAGCAGAGATTTATTCTTTGAGGAACACACTGAAAGCCATTTCATTCAATATTCATTGTATAAATAAATAAGTGGATACGGAATAAATATGGTTATGAAATATATCCACAAATAAATAAATAAGGCAATAAATATATAAATAAATAAATGTTAATATAAATGACTCACTAGTTCAAAAAAGAATGAAATACAAAGGGAGCAACGTGATCCCTGGCATTAACTGAAGGCCAATCTTCAGGGAAATATCACTGGAATATAAGAGATGGAAATCAAGAGCTGTGAAATATGCAAATGTACGTTAGGAAATAAAAATCCCCTGGAATCATAAAAGTAGCTCTATCAAAATCGTTCTTCTAACGTTTTATTAAATATAAGATATTTCTTTAAATGATTGCATTGTTTATACTTAAATATTTAGGATTCATTCCATAGCTGTATCCTTTAGATTGATCTCAACAAAACTATTTCTTACACCGTGTTTCCTATTTCATAATACTAAGATGTTGCATAAGAGAGGAGCATCATAAATAATACATTTATTAAAAGGGTCTGTGTGCTTGTTTTAACTTGTACTCTTAATTACTGAAAGCATTTGATTCAGGCATTTAAACAAAGATATTCACTGTCAATAATAACTGTTTTCAGTACCTTTCATGCAAGATGCAGCCCAAAGTGCTTTACAAAGCAAGATAAGAATACATGAACTCAATAAAAATGTGTACAAAATAAGGAGTAAAATACATACAACAAGTTATGAAAGCAAAACGGAGCGACTTGGATCACAAAACCATAAAACACTCAAACATCAACAATAATACCACGGAAATACCCAAATTAAAAAGATAGGTTTTACATTTGATAAAAAAAATTCCAAATTCCAATACTACTAACCTGAAAGCCATCTCATTAACAGCTTGTGACCTACATTGACTACATTTAGCCTTGCCGTGGGATGCAGACTCAATAAAACATACTATTATTCTTCTATAGCGCAGTGTGAGCAGGCAGGAGAGCAGCAGCGTGACCCATTTAGGGTTCTGTTATAGTGTGGGTTACATGAACAAAATGTGCATTTAAGATCAACGTCATGGTGGTACTACTCGTGTGAAAAACACTAGAATAATGACACTGTAGATCAACTCATCCAGGTCCTCCAAGTCATGCCTCGCCCTTTAATGGGGGAAAACATCCGCTGTCATTTGATTGCCAGTAAATACAGATTCTGAGATTTTCGCCTATCAGATGAAAAAATTAAGATTACCGAAGATCTCGGTCCTTTTCTTAATTGTCCTTTTTTTAAATAAGAGTTAAGAACATTTAAGAACATCGCAACTTTGGATATTTGTTTGACGTGCAACTTAAGAAATGATAAAAAATGTTTTCCGATCGGCGCCTATTCTTTGAATTCAGCGGAAAGTGGGCGGGGCCATCATTTCGCCAAGCTGTGATGCATCGCTGCTCTCGGAAAAGCATCTAACTAAAGACACTATCAAGATGCATTATTGGAAGTGTAGTATCCGATGTTTATGGAGCTTGGGAATTCAAGTCAGGGTATCTCTGTGTCTGCCGCTTCAATTCAATCGTTTTAATACTAATATGCCCTTTCCTTACCACAACTTATAAGAGTATCATTCAATGGAGTAATAGAATGAATAAAATAAATCAACATCGACATAAAACAACAATACTAGGGGTACATCTTAAGACATGTTTTATAATCTATCGATTTGTTTATTCCCCTTAATAATTAGTAAATGTTTGGAAAACTGTAAGAAAAAACTACGATTTCTACAAGCCAATGATGACGGTTTCATACTGCCCGTTTTGTCTTAAACCTAAATATATTCACTTTACGATCACACAGAACAAGATAAAGCAATGAATACTCACATTTTAGAGGCTGGAATCAGGTATGTTTAGCATTTTTGCTAAGAACAAAACAAAAAGAAAACTGAAATGGTAAATAGACTAATTGGATAGTCGACTTTTCAGCTCTAAAATAATTACAGAGGGGGAAAAAGTACTCCAACTATAAAGTGCCGACAGTCTGAAGCCACGTCTTTACTCCACATTGTGACTACGCAGCTAACATTCAAAATGCTCTAATTGTCCAATTTAAAATCAGCCAAGGTCCGGTTACCACACAACCAAACATAACTGGTTGGACTCCTCAATGAAATGATCCACGAGCATTTATCAAAGAAGCATACAGGCTTTCTGGGCCGCAATCGCAAGTGACTGATAACCATTACTTTAAAACAGCAAAAAACTAGCAAGCTAAAAACCACGTATCTGAAAAATATTCTCCTGATAAAGTACATAATGGCTAATGTGTTAGCAATAGCTGCCTGTTCACAAAACCACCACAGCAAAGGCAACCTCACCTTTCGGAAATAAGTGTTTTTGTCCAGCCAAAGTCCGATTTGAACTCTGTTTTAGGTTTCATCCAACTCCTGAAGACATTATCTGTCTTTTTAGCTGTTAAATGCACCATTATGTTCAACAGCTAGTCCATAGTAAAGGATGGAGATATAGGAAGTGTACAGTGGCCAAAATCACTCATGAGAGCAGTGAGAGTGAACCAAAGCAAGGTAAGGTTTGCAGATCGGAAGACAGAAAACAAAGAGCTGAAATAGGCTAAGAAAGACCTCCTAAACTCTGAGCAGAGTCAACTCTTTGTGGGCTTATTAGTAACGTGGCACGTTTGAGCAGGTGATCTCACCTCAGCGATGCACACGGGATCCAGCGGTCCACATCGGATGAAGTAAAACTCGCCGAGCTTCCACACCTGTGCCGGTCCGTCGGGCTGAGGTCTGCTGCTCACCGACTTGTAGAAGGCGTAGCTGCCTCGCTGGCAGGAGGGGGCACCCAACCACTGGAGAGGAAGAGCAGATGATGATGAGGAAGAGTCAACTGTGCAGCTCTACAGGCACCCATGGCATTTTCACAACTTGAGTTTGGCATTTAATAAGCTCTGCAGCACAATCGCACACCAGAAGGTTGCTGCCATAAATGTTGAAGACAGAAACAACATCTGCAGCCGAGTTAAATCTCAAGACTGAAAAAAAGAAAATAATTTAGAGACGAGATTTTACAAATCTAGGCCTCCATAATGTCGCCAAAACAAAGAGGACCATGACTGCTGATAAAACTTGCTGAAGTTCTGTGTGCTAGCCAATTAATGGATTTCATTTATTCAAATTACAAATCAGAATAATAATTTCTTTACTTGTCTGTCAACGGGGGAAATGTACGGCATTAAGACGGCAAAAATACTGCCCAGATTAAAGTAAAAAGAGCAGTGTTTCCCCTACCATTGTCTTGAAGGGGTGCTGTGCCCCGCCAACGGAGCCCCGCCCCCCCCCCCCTGAAATTCAAGGTGTTTTTTTATATATATCACCAAATTGCAACTAATCTATATCTACTGTCACTTTTCATATTGAACATGTGCTCTTTTATTAAATAAACTAAACGCTTTCATTTTAAGTTGTGAGTTTAGTGTTTTTCAGATTCAGATTCAACTTTATTGTCATTACGTAGTACATGTACTAGTGACAAAATGTAAGTTTAGGCATCTGACCAGAAGTGCAAAAAAGCAGTGCAGGAGTCTACATAATGAGAATAATTATACATGGAATTATTATAAATAGAATAATTATAAACAGATGAATTTGTTTATGAAAGTTTTTGACCCTAAGAAACACTGATGCATTAATCAATAACAATAATCCACAGCTCCTCTCTCTGCTCCAGAGGATTTAAAAAATATATACCGGAATTGTAAAGCGGTGCGGTATGCTAATGGTAACACGCGCCAAACATGTTAAATCATGAAACTTGAAACTTATTTGTATACTGAAACTTGCAAAATAAATAACAAACCTGGAATTATGCATTTGGGACTTTTTTTTGCTTTTTCTTGTTGTACCGAACCCGTGACCCCCAAACCGAGGTCCGTACCGAACCGTGAATTCTGTGAACCGTTACACCCCTACTAATAACACATAAGTACACTATGTTTTCTTGGAAAAGTGACCGTATTAAAATATAGAAGTAGAAGGTAAACAACTTTGAGATTAAATATTTAAAATGACCTCCTCTGACTGATGGCACAGGCTTATCTGCAGCCCCTGATAGTGACTCAAAATAAATTCAGATATCACATGAAGCTTAAGAAGGGGCTGCATCTTTTAATTGCAAATGTAATGACGTCTGCTCTTATAAAATGGCTACCATTGTTTACCCAATGATCAAAGTCATTATTATGAAGAATTTATGACATGTATAAACTTGTGTGGATTAATCATCTGTGTCTCAACTCTTTTCAAATGAAATCCGTTTCATTTATGAAGACTCAACAGAAATCAAATATAAAGCAGTATAGCACAGTAGTGACACTTCCTGTTAAATTGATTTTGAGCCTGTGTTTCACGCTTGTGTTAGATTAGATTAAAAAAGGGTGGATTCAGAGAAGTGATTCTGCTGTTAACTTTTACTTTCACTTGCAACTCAGTGAAAGCCACCCGATTTCCGGAAAGTCATAAAATCATAAAATCTGTGTATCTAAACTGTAACTGTGATGTTAATCCGAGTTGTTTCCTGTTGTGCATGCCGGTCTAAATTATATACATGTTGAAATAACATTTTGTTTAATGATTACATTGTAAAGTCTATGTCGTTATCAAAAGGTTACATTTGTTCCCTTACAATAACTCAGACCCATAAGCAGAAACATTTCCCAATTAAAAAATGTTTTTGTCTTTTTTATAATTTTTCTCCAGTGATTTTGCCATATGGAGCTACATGTATTTTTTACATTACGTTGCATTTAGCTGACGCTTTTATCCAAAGCGACTTACAATAAGTGCATTCGACCAACAAAATACAAACTTGAAGAAAAACAGAATCATATAAGTACATCAGGTTTCATAGAGCCAAAACATTTCAAGTGCTACTCAACTGGCTTTAGATAAGCCAGCCCTTTATTAGTATATAAGTGCTTTATTAATAGTTCTATCGCTCGAAGTGGAGTCGAAATTTCTGTTACAAAAAGGTCGATGGAAAAAACTAGGGATTAAATAAACTGGCTAGAGTCACAAAAAAATGGTCCTTAGGTGCTTTTATTAACAGCCAACAATGCTGAAAAACACAAAGTAACAAGGATTTACATAAGGAAAACCAAAACCCCCCTAAAACACTTGTGGCCAGGGGTTTATACATGTTAAGCCCCTCCCCATAGGACAATCCACTATTTATACCCCTAACCAATATCATTCTTATCTACAAACACATTCACAATGCAAGGGAAATTACCCAAACACAACAGATCAAATAGGTCAACATATTCTCTCTTTCTGACCACAGAAGCTTTAAACAATAACATTGTTATACTTGCAAGAAAATTGCCACCCGTGCCCATGCACTACATGGTATAGTCCAATTGAGCACAGGTGTTTTCACTGATTGAGCCTCTACTTACTTGTGCCAAGAGCAAGGACTGTCTTAGGTAAGACAGCTTTTATGTGCGCAGCTCCACTTGCTTGGAACAATCTTCAGCAATTGAAATTGAAACTGAGCAATCTCATTCCTCTGCATGTTTTTAAAGCTAGGCTAAATGAAATGCTCGTTGATACTATGGGCACTTGTAAATGTCTATAACGTTGGGTTACGTATTGTAACCCTTGTTATATTAGCACAGGCGGAGCCCTCTACTGGACTCTATGGGTACTACCTTATCATGCAAGCATTCATCCACTGAGACTTCTATAGACGTAGCCGGCCTTGGGCGGGCCTATCTGAATGCGCGTGCATCACACCGTATAAAAGGAGGCCTCGCCTCCTGACTATCATCCTACACCTCTCTTCAGCGAGCGGAATAGGACAGGCAGTGCCCTGAGTAGAGGGCTCCGCCTGTGCTAATATAACAAGGGTTAAAATACGTAACCCAACGTTATATCTCTCACAGGCTCCGCCCTCTACTGGACTCTATGGGTACAGTGGGTGGAGCCCCGATTTATACGCGCACTGTCGTCGTCCAACAACAACATTCCACCGTACTGCCCCTGACCGGCTTTTCTGGTCAGCAGCTGCTGCCCCACTTTCTCCTTTAACCGAATGGGGAATTTGTACGGTTAACATTGTGTGTAGGCCTAAGTGTAGCCTTTGTGGAAACAAAAGACACTTAGATTTGGATACAGATCAACCTCATTCTTATTAGAAAACGTAGTGATCTGTGCATTATACAGGGAGGAGGCGGAATTCGCCCCTTCGTCCCGGGCGGAGAGATTTTCTCCCCCCGCCAGCCAGATCCGTAAAGACGGAAAGCCCGTCCCCGTGAGTGCCGACACGCCGGTTCCACGGGGTGGGCCGAAGAGGTGGAGGGCGCCGCGGGCACGGGATCTCCGTGCCGGCACCTCTCCCTTCGTCTCACCTCTCTACTGAGGTCTTTGAACGCACCGTGGCCCGCCCTCGGGGGAGGGGGGCCGCACGCGCCGTCACAATGCCGTCTCTTTGAAACGGACATTATGGGGAAAAGTGGAATTGTGGAGAGAAATGACTCTTACTCTGGGATAAATGCAATAGTCTTTACTGAATGCATTTTTCCCACACACACACACACCTCACTCCAGAACTAGAGTTTACAAACGTAAACCACCGTTCTCCTGCGGGGGTCCCTGAACGCACCGCGGCCACTCTCACGAGGGCCGTGCGCCCACGTATTAACGCTGTATTTCCCATTGTAACGGTGAAATGCATTAATCGGAGCTATTATACCAGGCAAGGTGTGTTTTCTGACAACAGCACGCCGGCAATAGTGTCTCTTGAACCCGCACAGTGCTTTGACAGCACTCGGTTTTTTCCACTCACGTGCACACGCCCACCTGCTGGCTCCCTATACTGGGGTTTACAGCAGGGGCGGGGAGTGTAGGACAGTGTTTCTTCCTCTGGGAATGGGCAAGAAGCAGCCACGCTGCGACTACTCCTCATCCCGTGAGCAAGGAGATCGATCCAAAGAGCCCTTCCGTAAACACGGGGGTTTTATTTTATCAATGTCCAGCTAAGTTATTAATGTGTTTCCCTCAGTGTGTCTTTTACCATGCCCCTATGCCAACTGTGATGAAGGCTTCTTCTTCACAATTTCCTTCACAAAAAACTAACAACTCAGCCAATTCAGTCAGCTTTAAGCATTGACATATCCCAGACTGTGAACAATTAATCCCACTAGCGTGTTAAAGTAAGCATTACAAATCTGAAAATTGTAAATTATTTGGTGATCAGGACTGATTAAAAGATTTAAATAACTTTTATTTTTATTTTCAAAGCAACTTTAGTTTTGAAGCGACTCAAGGGTTAAACTGCTGCAGTGAGCTGGTAATGTGCACACTATGGCAGAAAGTCATGAGACCTTTCCCTCTCAGGTCAGATCTCAGAGGGCAGGAAACATTTTCACATAACGTTTCAATACCTCTGTCATCTCGGCCCTGTTTCCTAGATTTGTGTATATCCATGTTAAACATATATCAGTCAGTGTTTAGTAAAACAAACTTGTTTTAGACCTATGGTAAAGTCAAGTAAAAATCCTGCTATCAAAATCTTACAAAAGTACACAAGTATTGGCATCAAATTATACCCGTTATGCTTAAAAGGCCCACTTCAGAACCATATGAAATTACTAGGGATGCACGATATTGGTTTTTTGAAACTGATACCGATAACTTCCTGCTTCTCAAGAAAAATAACAAAAAAATGTTTACGCCACTAATTATTTTAACGCGATTAACGCATGTGTATTTTTTTTCCTTGGCCGCCCCGTAGTTTTAGAGCGCATCGAGTTTAAAATACCATCTACAAGCTGATGCTGACAGCCCCACTCCT